TATAGGAAACCACTGTGGTAACCCAGGAAAGTGCCCACGATAGTCTGGGTTATGAAATCGTCTCTAGAAAGACCTACTCAGGGGGTCTCATTTCTCCAACATAGTCTTTCATCTACACACAGCTCTCTGTCCACGAGGCATGTGATAGCCCCTGGTGAGAGGCAACAGGTCCCACAGCGATGAGTGGGCAAGGAGGGCCTAGTACTCCCTAGACACCAAGATATATCCGTGCTCTGTCTCTCACGACAATCCTGGATGAGGAAATGAATATACACTTGAACCAATGCAATGCAGCCCAACAATGTGTTCAGTTGTTCCTCACTCGCCCATCTTCAAATCTAAACATCTTTGCTCTTTCCACAGCATCTGGCTGCCTCATAGGTGAAGGCCCTGGGGCGGGGGGTGGGGGGTGGTTCATGTATATCACTTGTGGCTGACACCTGCCTAAACACCACACCAGTCTGGCTTCTCAATACCCCAATTGTACAGGCTGGTGTTTTCCATCTACCTTCAGCCTTCCTAGAGATCCCACACTGCAAGGCTCTAGGTCAAGTATCATGTGTATCACGGTGTATCACGGAAGGCTTCATGGCAGAGGAGGACTGTTCACAACATGCTATTCAGGAAGAAAAGGAGAAGTGGGGCATGGTGGAAAGGTTAGGGTTCCAACATCCTCTTCAAGTGAACATCCTTACTTAATTTCCTCCCAGCGGCCCCACCTCTTCAAGGCTTTATCTCCTCCAATAACCACAGTCTGGTAATTAAGCCTGAAAAATACACAGGGAAAGAGATCACAGGAAATACAGCTTCCAGTACAACCTCATCACATCCACATAGCATGGTCCAGAATAACAGGGATCCTGCCGGGGCCCCAAAAAGGAAATGGATTCAGTGTGCCCCACAGCTGTGAAGAGGGGCTCAGTGCATGAAGGAGCATGGTCAGAGAGGCCTTTGGAGGATAATTTCTAAACCCTAGCTCCTGAGACTTAAATAATTGACCTGGCGTTTGGCTCTCCACCCTCCCTACTTGGGGCTTTATGTTACTTGAACATACGTGATTTTAGGAGAGAGAAAAGAGGTTTGCTGGGCATATAGCTCACTGGAATAGCGTTACTCTTGATAATTAGAGAATCAATTATCAATGCTACATAATTCTTTGTATCTTATTTCATTTTAAGTGTATGGACCTTTTGCTGGCGTGTATGTCCGTGTACCATGTGCAGTCCTGGCACCAGAGGAGGTCAGAAGAAGAAATCAAATCCCCTGGAACTGAGTTACATTTGGGGATATTTGATCGCCCTGTGAAACTCTGAGACTGTGTTAATAAAATTAACCTTGGGTCAGGGGGCAGAGCCAGCGGCTCGTTGACAGGAATTAGCCATAGAGAGTAAGGAGGATCCTGGAAGACAGACAGACGCACAGGAAGGAGTCGGGAGAGACTTAGAGATTCACGGACTTTTTTGGTTTCGGACAGTGGAGAGGTGCTTCTCTTGCTGGGTGTCCAGCCAAAAAGGAAGGTCAGCTGGTTGCTTCTCGGCTTCTCTGATGTAGCAGGTTTGCGTCCCAGTGTCTGACTCCCAAGTCTTGGGACGATAGAGACTTAGTTAAAATCTGCATTTGGTGGCCTCAGCCAAGCTGGTGCTGGAGGGAACAGAAATCCTGTCAGGCTGTGGTCTGAGCGCTGCACTGACTGCGGTGCCTTAGGGCACAGACGGTAAGTTAAAATATCAGTAGATTCAGGTGTGGCCGCTAAACTGCTGGAAAAACAAAGTTACAAACAGTTGTAAGCTGTCAATAAGGATGCTGGGGATTGAACCTGGGTCTTCTGGAAGAGCATCCAGTGTTCCTAACTCCCAGCCATCTCTCCAGCCCCTACATAACTTTTTTTGTTTTTGTTTTTTTGAAGACAGGGTTTCTCTGTGTAGCATTGGCTGTCCTGAAACTTGCTCTGTAGACCAGGCTGGCTTTGAATTTGCAGAGATCTGCCTGCCTCTGCCTCCTGAGTGCTGGGATTAAAGGCACACACCACCATCATCACCGCACACACACACACACACACACACACACACACACACACACACACACACACACATATATATATATAAAACTCTTATAACTCTATGTTATTGTAAGGTAGTGTGTTAGCTGGTTATATGTCAACTTGACACAAGCTAGGGTCATCTGAGAGGAGGGAACCTCAACTGAGAAAATGACTTTATAAGATTGGGCTATAGGCAAGCCCATAGGGTATTTTCTTAATTAGCGATCCATGTGGGAGAGCCCAGGCCATTGTGGGTGATGCCACCTCAGGTGTGGTGGTCTTGAGTGCTATAAGAAAGCAGACTTAGCAAGCCATGGAGAGAAAGGTGGTAAGCTGTACCTCACAGCCTCTTTTGCATCAGCTCCTGCTTCTAGGCTCCTACCCTGTTTAAATTCCTGCCTTGGCTGCGTTCAATGGTACGGTGTGATAATGAAATATTAGTAAAATAAGTCCTTTCCTCCCCAAGTTGCTTTTGGCCATGGTGTTTCATCCGAGCGATGGGAACCTTAACAGGCAGTGTTGTGTTATTTCCCATAGAAGTTCTTTTTTTCTGTGCCTGAGAAACTCCTGAAAGTGCTTTTGTGTCTTTGTCTCAATCGACACCAATAGCACAAGATAAAAGCCAAAAGGCAAATGGATAAAGGCCATATGAGAATCATTCTGATGCACACCGCAGCTAAAGGACAGATAAAGACAATGAAAAAGAAAAACAAGTTTATTTTGGTATTAGTGGACTTTTATTGATATCACTGCCCCTTCACAAAATAGCTCCAAAGCATCTATGCCAATGTTGGTTCAGGTTAAAGATTACTTAGAGTATATATATGAAGCCATACTGTAGGCACATGCTATATATCCATCATAGTTAATTAGTGAAAATATACAATCTTTGGCTAGTAGTTACGTACACAACCCACCTGTCACATGCAAGGGCCACAGACTAACTAGTTAGGAAACATTTTTAGATTCTTTCCAGAGTATGTGGTGATATATTGTGTACCCCAATAAAATTTGCCTGAAGATCAGAGAACAGAACAAGTCACTAGATTAAACATAGATGTCAGGCAGTGGTGGCACACACCTTTAATCCTGGCACTTGGGAGGCAGAGATCCATCTGGATCTCGGTGAGTTCAAAGCCACCCTGGACTACATGAGATTGACTCAGTCTAGGAGAGAAACAGAGCCAGGCAGTGGTGGCACACAGTACTTGGGAGGCACACAGGCATTTAATTCCAGCACTAAGAAGGAAGTGATATAGCTGGGTGGGAAAAGGTATAGATGGTGTGAGGAGACAGAAACGAGAAGCTTTTCGACTGGAGACACTTTCAGCAGAGGACTCAGACATTCAGTGAGAGGATTCATGGAGTTAGTGGGATGAGATGTGGCAGTGGCTTATTTCGTTGTCCCTCTGATTTTCAGGCACATTTTATTAGGTTACATAATCTATCACCACAAGAGTAAGTTACCTGGAGGGAGCTGGACAACTTCATGACTATATCATGGTGTTTGGCTGGGAGTCCCACCAACAGCACTCAAAACCCCCTGCAGCATGAAGAAGGATGGGATTTGGGGAAGTCCGCGCGTGGAGGCTGAGTTTCTAGCCAGGGACATTCTTTCCTCCTTAGCTCACTGGACCTCCTCTCTAAGGCAGTTTCCATTCCTCACAGAGGCTAACTTGGCCCCCTCCACACCTTCACCAACAGAATTTATCATTTCCTGTAGCTCCTGATTTCTTTAAAAAATATTTCTGTAAAAAAAAAAAAGAAAGATTTTATTTTGATTTCAAATTATGTGTGTGTCATGTCTGAGCGTGGGCTCGTGCACATCTGTGCACTGCTTGCAAAGGCCGGAAGAGAGAACTGGAGCCCCTGGAGAGGAGTTCTAGGTGGCTGAGAGCCTCCCAATGTGGTTGCTGGGAATGGAACTCCGGTCCTCTACAAGTGCAGACCACCTCTCCAGCCCCTCCCTCAGTATCTCACCGTTCCTTTTCTGAGATGGCAATTGATATGATAATTGGGAATTATATTCTGGGAATTCTGAAATGATAATGAAATTCATATTTGCCCAAGATGAGCTTATTAAAGGAGTTGACAGCTGTCCTGTTGACTCAGAGGAAGCTGGAGCCAATCGGGAATGATACTAGAGGAACATTTGAGTGGGGAAAGTTCTGGCGCTTGCCCATCAGTAAAGCCTCTCTGTAGTGAGCAGCTACACCTCTCTTTGCTGTATGCTTATGTGCTGTATATTCTGTGAACAGTCCGGGAATATCCACCAATGTCTTAAACATGTGACTCCTATTTGTTAAAGATGTTAGTATCCACCAATGTCTTAAACATGTGACTCCTATTTGTTAAAGATGTTAGTATCCTTTCACCCTGGCTTGTGTATTGAAGATGCCTGAAGATAATAAGAAAGCTAGATAAAGAGAGAGAGGAGAGACAGAGAGAGAGACAGACAGACAGACAGACAGAGAAAGAAGAGGAGGTATAGTAGTACACACCTTTAATCCCAGCCTTTAGGAGGCAAAAGAAGGCAGATATATGTGAGTTCAAGGCCAGCCTTGTCTACATAGTGAGTTCTAAGATAGCCAGATGAAAAACTGTCTCGAAAAAAAAAAAACCATAAGCAAGCAAGGAGACCAAGGGTTAGAGTTGTGCAATATGGAGTAGCCAGGGATTGGCCAATGCCTGGTGTCTACCAGCCTTTCTACCTCTAACACACACAATTGGGAAATTATTCAAAACCAAGTTTTAGGCACTGTGGAAGATTTAGGGGAATAACCCATGGCCCCTGACTTAAAAAAAAATCTCATTGGAAAGAGAAAACACACACACACACACACACACACACACACACACACACACACACACAGAGTAATTAGATAACAATGAAGTGTGTACTCACGAGGCACTGAGCAACCAGTGAGAAAGGAGACTTAAGAGACTTTGAGGAGCCAGAACAATCTTTTTTTAACTGCTTAAGTTTTTGCACTGTTAGTGATCAACTCTAGGCCCTTGTCTATAAGGCAAACGCTCTACCAAGAAGCTCTGCCCGGAGCCCTCTACAAGGGTTTTATTTAAGAAGCAAAACTTGAAATGAGCCTTGAAGACAGGTTCAAGTCAACAATGAGATCACATGGTCTCAAAAGCTACGTGGGAGGTTCCGAAAGCCAAGTCTAGTGACCTTGACCGTGAAAGCCAAAAACCATTAGCATGGATCTCTGAGACATACTGCGGCGTTCGGGCCTGTAGGCTGACCCGAGTGCCACTGCTGATGGCCAGCTGGGTGAGGTGTTGCTCACCAGCATACAGACAGGCTGAGGCTTGGTGACAGGGGTCTCAGAACCCTCTGGATGCTGCAATGTGTGGCTAGAAGCCCAGAGAGCTGTTGCACATGGGATGAGTATGTGTGGACACTTGCCCAGAGTTGATATTATCGTGACGGTGCTCAAGAGCTCGATGAAATTTTGTTGGCTGATTAGCACAAAGACAGTTTTTGCCCCTAGCAATCCTTACTATTTGGATTTTACGATTAACTTTCTAGCATTGGTTATACATTCAAAATCATGCTTTATATTTTCTAGCCAAGTTAATGAGCTTATGTATTAACGCCCGCTCCCCACTGAAGGCATTTCAGTGTGATCTAAAAAACCATTTCAGCGCAGAGCGCTTGTTGGTAAAGTGGTCTCTTAAGGAGTCTTCTTTGAACGAGGGCCTTGGGGTTTTTTAGCTTTTCTGGGTTTCTTGTTCTTCTGGGTTTTCTTCCCCTTCTTTTGCTTTTTCTTTTGGCTGACCTGCAGGAAGTGAGAAAGGGGCAATGCTTTCAAATCTTGTGATTTTCCCTCCCGATGGTCGAACTCCCCAGGACCACCGTCGTTCCTCGTCCTCAGAACCACCTGAAGTCACTGCTCTCAGAGGCGCTGGTCTCCTTATCAGTTCTCCACATGTCAGAGAAGCGACCACGACTCCCTCTTTGCTCTTGTTTGTCTACTTTCCTGGCATCTTGCTGTCTTCACCTCATCCTCCTTCATCCCCCACCTGTGCCAAACACAGCCCTCTGGGGCTGCTACTGGAACCTTCCGCCTTTCATATAAGCCAGTGGTTCTCAACCTGTGGGTCGAGACCCCTCTGGGGGTTGCATATCGGATATTCTGCTTATCAGATATTTACATTGCGATTCATAACTGTGGCAAAATTACAGTTATGAAGTAGCAACGAAACAATTTCATGGTTGGGGGTCAGCACAACACGAGGAACTGTATTAAAAGGTGGCAGCAGCGTTGGGAAGGCTGAGACGCCCTGAGAGTGGACAAGCCTGGGAGAGAGGGTTGCCTAAAGCTTACCAGCTGGTCTGTGGCAGACCCAGGAGTCAGACTCGGGGGGCTCAAGCTCCCCTCTGCCTCCTCCACGGCCCTTCTCAAACCCGGCTCCTTAGCACACCACACAGGGTTCTTTCCACTTTGTCCTGGCTTCCCTCCCATGTCCATCCCTTTGTTCTCGACACTTAAATTCCAGCTGCATTACTTCAGCCTCACTGAACACAGCCGCTTCCTCATGAAGCCACTAAGGTCCAGATTGTACTGAATTAACTTCCTGGTAAATGCCTTCTCCTTCAGGATCCAAATCAAAGGTCACTTGATACAAAGACGTCTACCTTAATACTTTCTATTCTGCCTCCCGGCCAGGCCAATTACTCTTTCCTTCATAATTCTCAAGATTCTTGTGTATACACTATTCTATATGTCTCCCACAAAGTCTGTTGATTTTTAGACATGGCTAGTGATAACATGCAATCCAGGGAAGGGGTGATAGCTTGTTCTTTTTTAATCCTTAGTGTCTTACTCCGTGATACGATTCAAACAGATGGAAAACGTATCCTTAATGGATATGCGCATATCCCGAGACTCCCAGAGTCTCTGAAGGAACTCGGGTCCCTCCCGTCACCCACCTGCTTCTCCCATTCTTTCATCAGCTTCTTCACGTTTGCGGAATCTGGGTTCAGACAGGTTTGAACTCCGTTCTTCAGTGTAGCGCTGCCAAAGAACCACCAGTGAGCTGTCTCCTCCTCAATATAACTTAAAAATTCTTAGCAGAAGTAGTGGGGGAAAACATGGGCTTTACTGACTTTTCCAATGGAACCACTTAAAATGCAGTAAAATGTTTTCCTAAGATTAACAGGTGGATTTCAGAAATTGTAGCAGACCTTTCAGGAGAAATCTCATGTTTTAATATTCATTTCTCTGGACAGCTTGAGACTAAGAATAGCTGCTCCATAGAGACTCCCTTGATTTGGGTGTCAAAGGTCTTATATATACATAGCCTTTCACTTCGTAATTCTAACTTCCAAGAAACTGGGAATGGCGGCTTATGCCTTAGCACTCAGGTAGAGAGAGAATCAGAAGGTCGAGGCCATTCTTGGCTACATAAGAAGACTCTGTCTCAAAACAAAACAAAACAAAAAATTCTAACCTCTAGACAAGTATTACTAGGAAAGACTTAAAGACAATACTGTAATAGTAATAGTGTTCCCATAGTACAATTTTTGGCATAACCTACATTTCTAGCAATGGCCATTGGCTATACAAATCATGGCATATCAATATGAAGGAAAACAGTTTAGCCACTAAAAGTCTTTATTAGGGCCAGTGAGTTGGCTCAGCTGGTAAGCACACTTGTCTCATAGGCCTGGAGAGCTGAGTTCAACTCCCGGAACCCCAAATAAGGACAGAGGAAAAAACGGACTTCACTAAGTTGTCCTAACCCTCGGCATACATGCTGTGGCATGTGCACTTGGACATGCAGAATAATGAATTAGAATTTATTTTACTTTTAATTTATGTGTGTCTCTGTGTACTTGCATGCGGGTGCCCACTGGGTCCAGAGGAAGGTATAGCATCTCCTGAGTGTGGAGTTACAGATGGCTGTGACTCGCCCAACATGGGTGATATAAACTGAACTCGGGTCCTCTGCAAGAGCAACAAGTGCAGCCGGGTGGTGTCGGTGGCACACACCTTTAATCCTAGGTGGGAGGCAGAGGTAGGCAGATCTCTGAGTTTGAGGCCAGCCTGGTCTACAGAGTGAGTTCCAGGACAGCCAGGACTCTCAAAAAACAAAAACAACGAACAAACAAACAAAGCAACAAGTGCAATTAACCTCTCAGCCATCTCTCCAGTGACCCCTCAAAAAGTTTAAAAGTTATTCTTAGGACTCAGGAGTAGTGTCCAGTGGGGAGCATATGCATAGCCCACGCAAAGTCCTGGGTTCAATCCCTAGCCCTCCCCCCAAATCCTAACAAGTATGGCATTTTTAGAGAAATTTAATTGATGTGAGAATCTGTCCATTATTATTGTGTTAAAGCAAACTACAAATGGGAATTTCTCCTTATCCACAGGGAAGATGTCCAGATTCCTACACTCTCAGATGGTGCCTACGTAACTTAAGATAAACTCTAATGCATAAACTAAAGTAGGATATTAACAATAAATAATATCAAAATAAAACAATGACAACCATAATGAAATTACTAAAACTTAGGAACCATTTGTTTCCAGCATATTCCATTCAATATTGTGGACCATGGTTGACTTCAGGAAACGAAACTTAGGAACTTGAATTGACAGATAAGAGGAAAGGACTGAATATAATGTGTAACTTCACTGACTTGACTTTTGTATGCATGTATATATGTATGTGTTACATATAAATAGGAACACACATGAGAAAGAAGTGAAGGTGCTTTAAAAGACGGCATGATGAGGGGTTAGGAGAGCAGATTATGATTGTTTTCTTCCTTTCAGCAATCTGCTTTAAACATTTAGGCATCTAGGAGCCCATTTCTTTTTTAATTTAAAAAATTTTTTCATTTTACATACTAATCACAGGTCCCCCTTCCCTCCCTTTCTCCCGCTCCCTCCCCACCTCCTCCCACCCCACTCCCCATCCACTCCTCAGAGAGGGTAAGACCTCCCCTTGGGGAGTCAACAAAGTCTGCCATCCCAAGTGGAGGCAGGACCAAGCTCCTCCCCACTGCCAAGCCCCTCCCCACTGCATCAGGGCTGAGCAAGGTGTCCCACTCTAGGAAATGGGCTCCAAAAAGCCAGTTCATGCACCAGGAATAAATCCTGGTCCCACTGCCAGGGGCCGCACAAACAGATCAAGCCACACAACTGCCACCCACATTCAGAGGGCCTAGTCCGGTCCCATGCAGGTTCCCCAGCTGTCAGTCTACAGTCCCTGAGCTCCCACTAGCTCGGGTCAGCTGTCTCTTTGATTTTCTCCATCATGATTTTGACCCCTCTTGCTCATATGATCCCTCCTCCCTCTCTTCGACTGGACTCCAGGAGCTTGGCTCAGTGCTAAGCTGGCTGTGGATCTCTGCATCTGCTTCCATCAGTTCCTGGATGTAGGGTCTATGATGACAATTAGGGTAGTCACTAATCTGATTACAGGGCAAGGCCAGTTCAGGCACCCTCTCCACTATTGCTAGGAGTCTTAGCTGGGGCCATCCTTATGGATTCCTGGGAATTTCCCTAGCACCAGGTTTCTCCCTAACCCCACAATGGAGCCGCCCCCCGCCCCCCGCGCCGCTGCTGCCTTTTTAAATCCCAATTGTATTTCCTTTTATCTTTTAAAAATTGTGTTTTTATTATTTCATTAAGAATTCCATTCAATATAGTTTGATCAGATTCATAGGAGCCACTTTTTGACATTATTTAAATATGTGTTTTCTGAATTAGAATCCTAAATGACCTTAAAAAGGTAAGTTTGTCTTAGAAACACTTTGTTATTTAAATGGTATGTCATCTTTCATTTTCAGTCTTCATCAGAAATTTCTTATTTGGGGAGAAGAAAAAAGGCAGAGCAGACAGATTTATAGAGGAAACAACAGCCTGTGGGAGCAGTTAGTCTAAGGGTGAGACTGCCACAAGTTCAAGGTGGAATGTGTATGTTGGAAGCTTTCACTTACATGATTTCAGTCTTGTTGCAATTAGGGCTTGGGGCAAATTGCTTGAGGTCTACTAAGGATCTGTGGTGGATCGTGCCTCGCCGAGTGTTGATGCAGGAGCAACGTTGATTTCTTATTACGAGGGTTCCTGTAGGAAAGGGAATACACATGTTTAGGCCAAGGTCTCACTTTGCATGGTCGATTAGAATGATGCATTTGACTTAGTCATCATTGCTGTGAGCCAGTGTGTGTAAATCATCACTGCAGAGTTTCACGGTAGGCATTATTTCCACCCTATAAATGAGGGAGCCAGGGTTAAGGACAAAGTCCTTTAGTCAAAGGGAGCAGGGGAAGAATTTCAGTTGAGGTCACTCTGAATCCACTCAGAGTTCTTAACTACCTTACACACACACACACACACACACACACACACACACACACACTTGTCTGTACTATAAGGACTGGTTCCTCAACCCGTTTATTACCTAATTTCAGGGGCATGGAATTGATGTAGGTATGGACAGAAAGCTCTACTTACAATAACCAATTACCACTTCAATCCTTATCCTTTCTCATCCCCACTGTTCTGAAAAATCATTTTAAACATATTGTCTTCGTCCCTTAATACTTACATAGACTCAGCATCTATCTACCTAGGTTTTACTATCATAACTTAACCACAAAACTTCTTTAAAGATGTGGAAACTACATTCTGGGAAGGTTATTTGTCCAAGATAAACAAAGTCATGAATTTTTAAAAAAGTCAGAAGCAACGTCTCTGATTTCTGAATTCTCGGTTGGTTAACCACAGACATGCTTATCAATGTGCAGTATCAGATGCAGAATATGCAGGAGACGATTCAGAAAATGGTCTCCTATCTCACTACTGGTTGCCAGTGTTGCAGATTTCATATCTCACATGATAAATGACAGACTCGTGTGAAATGGAAATAAAGCACCCAGAAATTCCTTCACATCTGGAAACATTAAATGTTCGAATATGTTTTGAACCCTCATTGGAAACTCCCAATACCTACACTAAGAAGGCATATTTGACTTGGCAGGTACAAATTATGACCTTTGGATAATTGGTCCCAGCATCCAAATGCTTTGATGAGTGAGCAATATTACTTTTTATTGCATGCAAAACATTCAACTTTATCTGCTGAACCAAGAAGGCTTTTTATAGTGTTGCATGTCTCAGAATTTACTGACTTAATACAATGCAAAACTCCTCACCTTGAACTCCACATTGATCCAGGAAGAGGATGCCCAAAAGGAAAAGAACAGTTGACTGCATGGCAGAGCAGGTCTCTTTTGAGTCACTGTGTTGGATTCAAGTCGGAGAACGTCTTTAGAGAACATGCTCTTGGGAATCACATTTATTTAGGAAATCCCTTTCCCTTCTCGTCTCTGATTGGCTGGTCTCCTCAGCTGACCTAGAAGAACTAAATTAACCACAAACTCAATTGTCCTGGGGAAAACCCTACTCTCAGATCCCAGGGAATTTCTGCATGCTTTACTTCCATTTCGTATAAATGGGTAGTTTATTAGAAAGGGATGCGAAACCACTAGTACTCACTTTGAACACAGCCAGAGTGGCCACCTGGATGAGGAATGGATTATACGATGAATATATTAATGCCATACAATGAAGGTTGGAGGTGTGCCTCCCACATGAGAAATACTAAAGTTCAGGAAAGTGATCCTTTTGTATTTGTATTGTCATGTACCTGTATCTGTACATTGTATGACTACATTAGTCTTTTCTCACACTTTCCAGACAACTTAAAGCATCTTAGTTTGTTGAGGGACTAGATTATTTTTTGCTTGTGGTAAATCCACTTTGCCTCATTGTTGCCTCACAGTTTACTATTCTTTCCATTGTTAGATTAGTTGCATAAGCCACAGCTGCTCCATTCCTTGCTACCTTCTCCAAATATTTCACAAATGTCTGTAACACTGATAGTATGACTATTAAATGAAAACACGTGTTAATGAGTATTTTCTAAGGAGTTTAAGGAGGCTACATATATTCAACAGCAGTCAACGCAAATAATTTTAAAGATAAAGTAGCTATTAAAACGTTCTGGCTGTTCAAGATTCTTATAGCTATTGAAACTAAAATCAGAGTTAGTATGACAATGAGAAAAATGATATGAAGCGTTCTCAGAGAATATTATTTTCTGGGACAGGACGAGAGGAAAGAAAAAAAACAGGACAAAGGAACAAAGCCAAAAATTACCCTTTCAAAACAGGATTTGAGAAAAAGGAACAAATAAAAACAAAAGCTCATAAAGTGCTGGTGCTATATATAGTCCTTTGACACGTCACGTCCAGAAAAGGATGTCATTAGAATATAATGAAAATACGGCAATGCTCCGACCAAACGCTGGAGAAGACTGGCAGGAGGTATTGGATTTTTTTTCTCTACTTCACATAATAGTTAATTAAGATAGGACTGGCAAAAGTATTAGAGATTTTTTGGCTCTACTTCACACGCTCCTTGAGTGCACTCGTTAATAGGGAAAGATGACAGCTAAGAGATGCTGCTGGGCTGTAGGTGAGTATGTACACATCTAGACTTTGTCCCCGCGTAGACTGAATCTGCACTTTCAATTCTTTCTCTACCTCCTCTAGAGGGTCTGGACCAGGGTTTCAGTGAACTAGTTCATGTAGCTTCCTTTTAAACTTATCCTAGAAAAATACCATTGGACAAAATGAACAATAGCACATAAATTACTTTTCCTCCTCTCTCTCACATGTCCCTCACTCCCCTCTCTCTATCCATCTTCTCCCTAGACCAGCTGGTTTGATGGAATTGTAGGCAGTTCTGGAGCGTTTTTAGTTGTACAGGCCACAACCCAAGGTATACATCAATCTTGGTAAGATAAAAACAACATAATCCTTGAATCAAAATAAAAGTCATCTAAACAATGTTTACCGACTTTTTAATTAGGTACTCCATTTCCCTATGGAAAAGCATATATAACAACTAAAATTTGAAAATAAATGGACCAAAAATCAAAAGTAAATTTCTCCTTAAAGAGAGAAATGGAAATATATATACTATACTAAGAAATGGATTTTAAATTTTGATTGAGCACTGATCATTGTAATACATATTTTTTGTTGTTGTTGAGATAATGTCTCACTATGTACCCCAGGTTGGCTTTGAACTTGCCATTCTCCTGCCTCAGCCTTCTGAGTATTGGGATTGTAGATCTGCATCCTGTGCCCCACTAAAGTCTAAGAATTTTTTTAGCCTTCCCAGACTGATGGTTGTCCTTGGAGCAATTATTCTTCCCCTTTTCCCTAAAGAATGCATGTTTTAGGAGAAGGAGATAATTTATATTCACATTTTATGTTACATGATGCCCAATTTTTACTAGTTTCTATGTGGATTAGTAATAACTAAATAAAATATTACAGAAATCATTTGGAAAAACAAAACTTGTGGTGACTTTGGACAAATTTATTTCTTGGTTATGTTTACTCCTGGTAATGACTGTGACCGTGGTTAGGGTGGACCTGGATTCAGGTACCAGTTTTACTACTTGGTGGTTGTTGAGTGTAGATGACCTCTGCCAGCCTTGGATCTCTCCCAAGAAAGCAACAGCCAGCTTCACAAGTGGGTGTTAAAGATTAATAACAAGAATATCCTGCCAGTGGGTAGCCGTCTAACAGAGGCTTGTAACTGGTCAAAGGGTGGAGAATTAATGACTGTAGAGTGTTCTGATCCTAAACAGGACATCTGTGTCGCCTCTGCCCCCAGGTTCAGGGAATATCCCAGAGGAGGAGCCTAAAAGAGTGTAAGAGCCAGAAGCTGGGGAGGGGGACTGAGAGAGAGTTTTCTGGACTGGACATCCCATTGCACTCACGAACTCACTGCAACTGTGTTTACCTGCTCGGGACATGCAGAACAACAGTAATCATTTCATCATGCCTATGGGGCGGGGCTCACGAGGCCCCACCCTCAATGTTTATGAGTCAAAAAAGAAAACTAGAGTTGAAAGCAGGAGGGGCATTTCTGGGAAGAAGAATGGTTTCAGGCAAGCGTGAGGATGAGAGAGGGCACTGGGCGGTGCAAATGCCTACCATTCACACATGCATGTATGAAATGGTCGAAGCGTGTGTAGAAAGAACCCACTCCCCAACACAAGCTCCACGGGAGCCCGCGGCTGTCCTTTCTAGCAGAGCTGATGGAGACTTCTTAGAATAAGGAGGAAAGCAGTCTCTGTATGAGCTGTCTAGTTTTATTTCCCAGACTGATTGCATCACTCTTTCTTTCTCATGTCCTGACTCCCCACTCGTGTCTGCAATGTGAGGACTCTGCATGCTTTACCCTGCAGCACGGTAATTGTACCTTATTCAGCATCCTGACTTTGGGAAGACGTCACTTAGCTCCACCAGCAGTCAGTCCTCATGGCGCCTCATGGCCTGTCCTCATCGAACTGATGTAGGAAGCAATGTCAGCTTATCCGGGACACTCTACTCTCTCCTCCTATTAGGAGGGGGGTTTGTAAAGACCCACATGTGAACATGATAACCCAGCACCTCTCCTGGAAGAGTGTTCTCGAAGCCTAGTAACGGTACTCAGTAAAAATGCTCACAAGTGACAAACAGGGGCCAGAGCCCATTTGGGCAAGATCTGGCATCAGCCAAGGATTGAAATCTTGAGCCACAGATTCTGTGACCTCTTCGAGTAGGGCTGTGCACAGTGCGCATGCCCAGCCAGTTTGCTTCCAGAACTTTCCTCCACCCGGAGTGCCCAACGCTCACTCTATGCTGCCTGCCGCTGCTGGGGCTGCCTGCACTCATCTGCTGAAGGAAAGAAGCACTTTAGGGAGGAAAGGTAGCGTGTGCCCTGGGGCTCTCCCCTTCGTCCCCACGGTCCCTCGGCCTCCTGGACCTGAGGAGGCCATTTGTCCCCAGGAAGCGGGGTGGGAGCGTGTGGCTTTCTCAGGAGCCTTGGTGAGGGTGGGAGGGAGCGACGGCTGCAGAAGCCCAGCTCATGCATGGAGGCCACAGGGCTCGGGAAAATCCCTAGGGGGTGAGGTGAGGGTGGCTGAGGTGACCCTGAGGAAGGCTCATTGGACAGGAGCTGGTGTTGAGGTCGGCCAGAGCCCCTGAGACCCAGATGCTCGCATCCCCAGATGCCCGCATCCGCAGATGCCCGTATCCGCAGATGCTCACATCCCTTGCATCCCCAAAGGCAGGGAGCTCCAGAGCCCGGGCTCGCTGCTGCCTTGCAGGGGCTCCTTCCTCACTAACAGCTAAAAGGAGGCTTCCTGAGCAGCGGGAATGTCCTTCCAGGGCAAAGCTTCTCAGATCAGCCTTGGGCCCTTAGGTGTGAAGATAGACCATTTGGGTTCAGGCTCTTAAGACGTTTGCTTTCCAGCCTCCATGTTTGACACAATGCATGCCAGCTTCCTTCCAGAGGAGTGCGGTGCAGACTGGAGGGACGGAGGCGAGAGAATCCCACAGAGACTTACAGCTTTTTAGGAGAAATAGAAACTTGCTAAGTAAGACAGGATGTTGCTGGAGTTTCTCATAGGCCTGGGAAGAAAGCCAAGGATTATCAGGACTGTTGCAATCAACAGACAGTTCTTAATTCCCTCTTTGGACAACAACAACAACAGAAAAAAACCTCACTTCTTTTTTTCCAAGTCAGTGTCCCTGAGGAACTCAGTGGTGATGTAACCCCCAGGAGCCAGGCCCTCTGTGGGTGTCTGGCCTCGCCTGCCACCTGTTTCGTTGTGGAGTCGTGCAGACCCGGTTAAAGAGGTTAACGGTGTCTTAGTAAAGACCAGAGGCTTCCTTTTGCTTGTCGGAGGGGAAGTTTCTCTCAAATTGAAACTCACATGCCTGTTTTAATTTCTCACTGTGTGGACTTCCCCACTTTCCACCAGTCGCTGCTACTATTTAAGGAGCCTAACTTTAAAACGGGGTGTTTCTCGAAAGTCTCAAGCTGTGAGTTAGCATTCTGAATTCGTTTCCCTCAGTCAGGGAGTCATTCCTTAAAAAAAGAAAAAAAAAAAAATTGAAAAACTTTTTCTTTAGCAAATCCTACTTTTGTGTATTTATTTCAGGTCCCTAACAAAAAGGAATAAATTCTTCCTTCATTAAGCTTATTGTCTTGGCTTCGTGGTTTATGTCTAATAAAAAGCCCCGCCCCCCCCCCCCCCCCCCCCCCCCCCAGGGCTGTTAGATTTGTGACTAGATGGTGCTGAGAGATACCGTCCGACATCTTTTCCAGGGCAGATGTGATCCAAGGTTGGCGACAGGCAGCACAGTTGTTTGGTCCTGGGACTTTTGGCGACCCAGTCTGCAATCTGATGACACACAGTAGTAATAGTCACAAAAAAGCTGCTTCCAAGACCAAAGAAAATCATCCTGAAAAGGGAGGACGGGTTTTCTGTTTTAAATATTCAGACTTATTTTAAGCGATTCACTCACAAGTTTGAAAAATAACTCTGCAAGGGCTGGGGCTCAGGAGTTTTAGGAGCATTAGCTGCTCTTGCTGAAGATGTAGGTTTGGTTCCCAGCACCCATATGACAGCTAATCATTGGCTGTAACTCCAGTTCCGGAGGATCTGTCACCCTTCTGGCCTCCACAGCATGACATGCATGTGGTACACAGACATACCTGCCCACAAAACACCAATACACACAAAACTATGTAAATCTAGAGAAACAAACCAAACAAAAACCACGGAGGGAAAAAATCCATTTTATTAATTTTTTTTTTTTTTTGAGGCAGGGTCTCATGTAGCCAGCCTGACTTAATTTTTTTTTCACGTAACTGAGGATGACCTTGACCTCCTGAGACTCACCTTCTGAGTTCTGGGATTACAGGTGTGTGTTTCCATGCTGGAAAATTCCACGTTCACGAACGCTTCATTGACCCTTTTTATCCTTCACTCCAGTTCATTCATCAAACTTTTATTATGATTCTAGATTCTAAGGACACAAATATGTTTGCCCTCAGAGAGCTTGTAATTTATTTGGGGCCAATCCACATTAAACAAATAATGACTATAGGAGAGAAATGTCCCATAAAAGGACAACACACATTGACTGGGCAGAGAAATCTCCATCTGTCGTGAAAAGCTTCAAACAGCTGTTGGAATTAGAGCCGGAGGGGAAACCTGGGGTTCCAAAGTGTAGGGCAGGACAGGAGGCGTGAGGAGGCGTGAGGAGGCGTGAGGAGGCGTGAGGAGGCGTGAGGAGGCGTTCAGAAGCTTCAGGTGCTGTGCAAGGGTAGAAGACAGTGGGGTGGAATTGGGAGGAGTGAGTCTAAAAACGTAGCAGGCGCTGAAGGGTGAAGGGTTAGAGTCTCTAAAGACGAAATGAAGGATTCTAGTCAAGGGAGCATGTCCCAGAGGTTTATGAAGCGAGCACACACACACACACGCACACGCACACACGCACACACGCACACACACACACGCACACGTGCACACACACACGCACACACGCACACACACACACACACACACACACACACACACACACATCACACCCCTATCCATGTATAAGTCTTTGTCACTAATTTTGTCACTTTGTCACCCATTAATTTTACCTTCTATAAGTATTTCCTTTGCCTCTACGTAGATGATGTGTTTTTAAATAGTTCTTCATATGTCTAGACTGTTGGTTCTCAACGCTGGGCATTTGGGTTGTCTCTAGTATCAGTAGTACAATAATGCTCTTATTATGTCTTAAGTGACTTTATTTTCTGGTTCTGTGTGAGGTGGCATGCACCTGCAGCCTCAGCTGCTGAGGAGGCTGAGGCAGGGTGAGTGCTCGAACCCCAGAGTTCAGGGCCCTCGTGGACAACACAGTGAAACCGTGTCTCGTAACATAAATGTTTTTGGTTTTTCCTTCTTTGAAATTAAAAGATAGATGATAAGAATATTCAATGTTTTCTGTAACATTTGGTTGCTTGCCAGAAAGAGAAAGCTAATTTTGTAATAACCCTAAATAATATGTACATGTATCTGTTCCCCAGTCTTCTATTATTTGTATTTATTATGCAAAATTGGCATGTGAGATTATTTCCAGTTGTACTGTATGTGTGTATGTGTGTGTGTGTGTGTGTGTGTGTGTGTGTGTGTGTGTGTGTGTGTGTTTGTGCATGTAGCAGTAGGCTACACTGGCTGAGATTTGTGTCTCCACCTCACCAGCATGGGGAGTAAAAGCACAAAGTACTATGGGCCATTTTTTTAATTATTAAAGTTTTTAAAATTTATTTTCTTGTTTTTACATGAGGATTCTTCATACATTTCAGAGACTAATAATGTATCAGCTAATTGTGTTGCAGGCCTATTCTCAGTCACTAACTGGACAGAGGAGGTGAGGAAGAAGTGGTAATGTGGGTTGCTCATTTGGGGAACTGAGTGGATGATGGTGTAATTAACCAAGTCTAGAAAGTGGAGGTGAAGACACAGGACTAGGAGAGAAGTGATTACTTCCGGGCTTTCCTGTGCAGTATTCTGGCGAAGATGTCTTGGATCTAGGAGTCTGCTCCAGCTCCCTCTCTGTTGCTGTGGTAAATACCAGAAGCAGCTTCAGGGAGGAGAGGGTTTACTTAGGTTCCTGTTTCCAGGCACCAGTCTATATCACCAAGGGAAGCCAGGGCAGGATGCTGGAGCAGAAGCCGCGGAGGAGGCTGCTTATTGGCTTGCACTCTGGCTTGCTTCCTCTGGCTCATGTTCAGCGAGCTTTCTTATGCAACCCAGGACCACCTGCTCAGGGTGACACCGCCCTGAGTGGGCTGAGCCCTCCCACATCAAGCGTCAGTCAAGACACCGCCCTCGGACATGGCCACAGGCCAGTCTGATCTGCACATCCCCTCAACTGAGACCCCTTCTTCCCAGATGACTCAGTTGTGTGGAGCTGACAATAAAAACTCACCAGGACAGGGTCCATGCCCATACCATTCTCTCATGCCTTGCCAGTCATATAGGAATCTTGTTTGTTGGGCCTTCAGGAGGCTAAACTTAGGAGGAGTGTGGTAATTTTCCTGATTCATTTGTCCTCTACCCACCCCACCCCAACTTCCTGTGCAAGCCATGGAGTCTCTAAACCTCTGAAACAATTCTCAGTCACATGACCCATAGGGCATTTCATATCAGTTATTACTTTATTACCTTTTTTGGTCTCTTAATATTTTCAGTACAGTACATTATTTTTACTTTGAAAACCATCCAACACTTTTGTGTTATGTAACATTCAGAAGCACTTGTCTATATAAACTTCTCAATTGTTCACTGATACATACTTAATTGCACAAGTTCTACTGTATACAATAAAAGTCGTACAAAAAAACATACATCTAGGAATTCTACTTTGTACAGTTGTTCATTAAATAATATTTATACACACATTTCCATATGTTTTTAGCTTCCTGTAAGTATTCTGAGTTATGAAGTTCCCTTGGGAAGATGGGGCAGTACACCGTGAAGTAAAGTTTGTTCTTAGAAGCAGGCAGGTGGTAGTCTTACTTTGACTGTATTTGAAATAAATGAACCCAGGTAACTCAGAACTGAAGAGATCTCCTAATACACCTAAGATAGGAAGATGAGGAGTGTGTGGGGAGCAGGCAGGACTTGGCACAAGGCTGGGGGTGTAGCACCTCAGCATAGCTTACAGTACAGGGCCAGGAGAGCTAGTGCAGCTGTTTGAGAACTCAGGACCAGCTCTTAGTGGAGCTGGGAACTCTTATCACTGGAGTTACTATTGTCTCAGGATGATGAACTGTCCATCGTCCTTCAGGAATAGTGGCCTGACATCACCAGGAATAGCAGCAGATGTGACCATGGTTGGTCACCTTTCAGGAGAACCAGGGACAATTAAGGCTAGCCATACACCATGGAAAGGGAAGGGATGGAGAGAGAGGCTCTCTGCCGCCGCCTGTTGGTCACAGCCCTGCGGTGATCAGCTGCTGTCTGGTTAAGGGGCTCGTTTAGACCTGTAGGAAGAAGACAGTGTATTGAGTGGAAGAGACTCTGGCTTCAGTCTGGGAACCCAAAGACCCTTGGGAATAAGGCTCAGTGCACTCCCCTCTGCTACCCAGTCACTATGGGTCACAATGGCTGTTGTTTTTAGTGAGGAAATGGGGAAAATTGGACAGCTTTACCCGGACAGTTAGAACTGCTCACAGGTTAAAATCATTACCTGTCACCTCTAGACATTAGGTATTTATGGCCGAGGTGGCACCTCAGTGTCTGTATAAATGGAGGCAGAATGGGACATGGTGGCGACAGGGGTTTAAGGCAAAGATCCCACAGCAAAGCCCAGCGCATATGTTACTTCCTAAGACTGCCATTTCCTGAAAGAGCCACAGCCAACCTACCTGTTTTTGCTAATCAGTTTCAACAAACTCTTGACGGCCTCAGATTCTGGATTCAGACATCTCTTCTCTTCAGTTTTCTTCATTGTGACACTGGAAGTAAGCGGTGAGACAGATTAACAGCAGGCCAACAACAGAAGGGCCATGCAGGCCCAGATCAGAGTTCACCTTCCATTCTCTCCCTAGTTGTAGGGTCACGCAAACCCTTTGCGGATCTCTCCTGATTAGCGTCCCATATCTAACATGTGACTACATGAGGGAAGTGAGCAGCAGGTGAGGCTTTACTCACATGATCTCGATTCGTGGACAGGATTGGCTTGCAGGAATAATTTCCAGTTTTCCTAAGGCCCTCGGTTTTACTGGTCGGTCATCAATTTTGATGCAGGAGCAGCGTACTGTTCTCGACAGAGGGATTCCTGCAGGAAGAGAGCAGTGGAGCCGGGAAGGTTAGCTTACGGTTCCATTTTAGGCACTTAATACAGGTGAGGTCGTATATGCAGAACCTGTCCCCACATTATCACTTAATCTGGGAAGAGATGTAGCCCATCGTCATATCATAGGTCTGAATGGTGAAATAGTTATTATCGTGAAGAAGGGACCTGCATGCAACTTGTTAATAGTGAAATCACGCCCTCAGGCATAGATCATATTATCCATTAGGCTTAGGTAAGGAGGCATCTGTCGTAGCCCCCTCTCTCCTTCCTCATCTCTCCCCTCCTCCTCCATCCTCTCACAGTTTTTTCCCTACCTTCCCTTTTCCTCTCTTTCTTCCCTTCTTTATTCTCTTTCTCTTATTCAATTTTCCTCTGTCCAACCAGCATGAGACAAATTCTGCAAGCAGAAGGAATCTCTGCCTGCTTCCCTCTCTTTTATAGGCACACACCAAACTTAAAACTACACTGTGTTTAGAACTGAGCTCAGTTGTCTTTCTGACTGGGCGTTCCTTACCTTGAGTCCCACTCAGACTCAGCAGGATGAGGCAGAAAACCAGGACAGCGCTTGGGTTCATGGTGCTGAGAGTGGAGGCTTCTGGCTGGCTGGCTCAGGTCGTGTGTCAGCCGTGGATGAATGCCTCGTGAAGTGCTGGGCCACTGGGCAGTATTTATCGGCCAAGAGTTTCCCTCCCTGACTCTTGATTGGATGACTTTGGAGTTGACTCAGCAAGACTTTAGTATCCTTCAAGGGAAGTCCCCTGTTGCAAAATTGAGGTTATTTGTGTTTATTGTGAGCTCCGAGTTTGGAATTTCCCTCTGTGCTCTGTTCATTTTCAATGAGTGAGTGAGTTAAGTTTCACTTTCCAAAGCATGAGCTGTTTGAGGAAAAAAGATGGAGTGCATTGCAGAATAAGTTTGAAAATGGATTGAAATCTCATCTTTCCTATCTTGTAAAACAGAGTTAGTATTTAAGTCAAGTTAAGTCCTAACCACAGTTTTATTTTTTGTTGCATTTCCATTACTCTTGCTTTTTTTTTTGAGAAATTTGTTTATCTTACAAACTTTATTATAAAAACTTGCAATAAATGAAAAATCACACAGCAGAGATTTTTTTAATTAATTAACCAGATCCAAAGTCTGTACAACTTAATGAGCTTTTGTGCAGTTAGACTAGGCATCCAGAACAGAAGCTGTGGAGCCTCCCATTAAATCTTACACCGGGTGCGGGGAGGGGGTGGTCACGAGTGACAAAGGAGGATAGAAAGCTAATCATTGGTCTAGTTCCGACCCTGTCATGGATTTCATGGTTGTTTTCTTAGCGAGTGTGTGGCAACAGAGGATCATGGATGAAGTGATGCCCACTAGATGTGGGCATCACTCTGCAGTGCAACAGCTGAGGCAGCCGATAACTAGAACCTAGGAAAATACATGGGAGATCTTCCACAGGGGTGACAGTGATGGGGACAGGCCAGGAAGTGGCAGCAATTCATCCTGGGATAGCGCTACTGAACCCGGAGTGCACTGGTTCGGAGCGTCACTGGATGCCAAGAACAAAGCCCGTATCTGCAACTGGACCTGCAGAACAGGAGCTCTGTGCCAGAGCAGGAAGTGAGTTGCTGTTTGGAAAAGATGGAAATTTCTAGAGTGCTAAATCCTAGGTTGATGTAGTCCGAGGACGAGAACAGAGCTAAGCTTTCAAGTGAGCCAGTTGGACAGCTGTAGG